TTTTTTTTTTGGATTATTAATAATGTAGTACAATGATTTATATTTGAAAGATGACTACATTTAAATTTACTTATATTTATCATATTGTTTTGGATTGTGCCCGTACCCGTTTTTTTTTTTACAGATATATTTTTCTGAAACCTCTGTCAATGTTATAGTGTCATCGTATTATCGCAGAAAAAAAACGGATGGACGAAGTTGCTTCAACGGTAACAACAACACCACGTACCCGACTTTTTGGCCTTATCCTTCTATTTATTGTTGATGCACTTTGGGTATCAGCTGGTGAAATTACTCGCGTAAGTAACTGTTTTTTTTTATTTTATTTTATTATTTTGAAAGTTTTGCTTTTATTAAAAAAAAAAGAGAAATGATTCAAAATAATTTTAATTGTTAGCGGAATTTTTTTTTCTTTTTTTTGGACTATAAAATGTTGACCTGTACCTAAAACGTTATAAAAATTTGAAAAAAAATTCTATAGTTACATTCTTTTACAGTACATCTTTATTGACTTGAAATTTGAACGGCCATTTTTTTCGACCTACATAAAACTATGTATGCTTGTTGCATATATGTTTCCATATTTCTTCAATTGTCGATCGATAAGGGTTGAAAAAGTATGTTTAAATTTTTTTTTTTTTTGTTATTGCTATTGCTCAAAGTTATTTGCATCTTTAATCCAGAACAGTAAAAATATGTTGAATGCTGGCTAAATTATAAATTTCCATAGCCAAGTTCTTGTGTGATGTACTCAACAGAAAAAAGAAGTTTTTTTTTTTTTCTGTGATCAGTATAAATCGGAAGCAGAAGAAAAAAGAAAGAGGAAAGATTGTATGATCAAAATAGTTGACATTTTGACGTCAGTAATCATTGTTGTTGATTGTGACATGAAGTTTTTATTCTAAACTTTTTTTTTTTCTATTTCGCAGTCAAATTTAACGATTTTGTTTAGCTTATTCAAAGAAAGAAAAAGAAAAAAGTTTTTTTTTTACATATTATTTGAAGAAATGGATAAGAAGGATGGTGAGGAGTGGGATAAGAGGAGATTCGGGTAGGGGAGGGGGAGATAGAAGGAGCAAAAGGTGGGAAAAAAGAGAACAATGGCTTTCTCACCTATAGACACATTTATCTCTGTTGTGTAACACAGTTTCTTTCATATGTTTTTCTTTTTTTTTTTTTCATTTTTTTGCTGTCAACAGTTTCGAAGAATTTTAATTTATTTTTGTAAATTTGTAAAAATTTATTTTTTTTAACGTTTTCGTTTTGTTTTTTGTCTTTTTGCCGTTTATCATTTGCCTTTATTTTAGACAAACATATTTCAAATCCAACTGTTAGGGAGTATCAGAGGAAAGAATAGAGTAAAAAACGAAAGGAATTTCTATCTTTTAGTCAGAAAAAAAAAAAAAAAAAACAATAGAAAAAATTATAGCTTTTTTAAAGTTTTCTTCATTGGTAATTTTCTCTCAAAAAAAAATTTTTTTTCTTTGCTTAGGAAAACGAATTTACCAGAATTGTTGAAAGTGGTGACGATCGCTGTGACATCGAATCTTTGGTATTTTTTCTTTCTTTTTTTTTTTGTTTTTTCTTGATGTTGTTTGTATAATTACTGTTGTTATTGAAGTTTACAAAAGTTTTTTTTTTTCACTCTTGAAGTATACTTCTTTTATAACTTTTTTTTGGTCAACATTTTTGATGAAAATTTTGTTTTGGAACAGACCATAATTAATTTGGTGTTCCCATTTGAAATTTCTAACATGTTACTGCAGTAATTACCTGTTAAATTCAGCAAAAATTATTTTAGTTGTAAAGCATTAATATTGTATGTCAATTTTTTTTTAACTGTTGAAAAACTTATTGTAGACTCCTTCGGAATTTGAAAGAGTTGCTGCTAGTGAAGGGAGCGATGTTGATTATACACCAAAAACTGCACGACAAGTTCGATTTTCGGAGGTTGTCTGTTTTTTTTTCTTATTCTTTGCCAGAATCGGGTCAATGGATTTCTATGATGTAGAGCCGTCTGGAATTTTACGTTTGAACAACTGATTTTTTGCTAGATATGTGAAGTTCGTCATATGCCGTTGTCGTTGGCGGATGAAGCACTACGGGCTCGACTCCCATATTCCGCCACACGACTTTGGTGCTATTGTTCGATGTCAACTCAGCTGAAAAGCATTATTTTTTTAGCTACTATGGTAAAATTTAAACAAAATTTTTATTTTTTTTTTTATTTTTCAGATGTCAGGGTATTTTTTTTTTTAGTTGATTCCGTAGTTCGTTGTCTTTCTTAGTGTTATTAGAATTAGGTATATAACGTTTCCTTCTCTTCATCTATTCTAAACGATGGCTTTTAGTGGATTATATGTACGTTGACTTACCAAGCTTCTTTAATATTCATATCAGTTTCATCGCTAAACCTTCTTTCCTCATCATCGTCGCTGTTTGTTTTGGTTTTCTCTGCTATTCTCCCATATTCAGCGGCTGATCGTATTACATGGATTAAAGTTTTTTTGGTCATTCTCAATTTTGTTGGTAGGTTTTTATTCTTTGCTTTTTTTCCTTCCACTTTTATAACAGTGTTTTTGATATTATTTACAGCGAGGAAAAATTTAAGAAATTTGTTAAGCAAAATTTTGCTTTATTTTGCTGTAAATGAGTCTTATTGTCAAGTCTCACAAATTTTTATTTTAGTTTGATTCTTTTGTTTAAGTTTTCTTTGATGTTTTTAGGAGTGGCACTGATTTCTGAGTATAGTGCTTCATCTTACGGTACATTATTAGCCCTTTTTTCTGCACTCTGTTATGCTGTATACTTGGTTTTTTTCACTTATGTTCAACGTAACGGATCTCGCCTTGATTTGAACCTTATAATGGGTAAGCATGATACACTTCTGTTTTGTTAACTTCATTTAGAAAAACGAAAAAGCAAGCATCATTTTCCAGTAAAAGTATACGCCTCTATCTGATTATCACGTGAAGTGTAACTTTTTTTAATAAAAAATTTTTTAGTACAAATATGGAATAAGCTTTTTGGAAGAGTTGTAGTTGTTTTGTTATTTATTTTTTGTCTATAAATAGTTAATGTTCGAGGCACCTGTTGTTTACTTGAAAAAAGGAAATTAGGAAAAAAGGGAAATGAGGAATACTTTTTTCTTATTGCTGTA